TTTTTTTTTTTTTTTTTTGTGGATGGTATAGTAGGAAAATTTAGTCAATAGCCTATCTTGAAAAGAAACTTTAAAAATACCCAACAGCCCTTTAAAATCAATAGCAAAGCTACTTAGATGAAATTCCTGTAATTGGTTAGAGAAGAGCAACATTTTAGCATTATATGAAGTTCACAAAAGTTATTCTATTTGCAGTAATACTAAGAAGAAAAAAAAAGATAATTGAAGAAAAATTTTGATGATGTAGTTCTCTTATAAATTGGGAACAATGACCCTTGAAGGACCATAAAGAAAGTGAATGTCAAGATAATTTATTATTGTTACATTATCTACCTCATTTTTCACTTTGTCTTACTGATCTGTGATAGCCTTACAAGGTACCAAATATCCCAAACATTAATGAACATTTTCACAGTGTATGAAAAGCAAAATAAAAAGAGGTAAAACAAAGAGTTGATGATTTTCTCCTTTACTGCTGCTTTAATATCAAAAATGTTAACCAGAATGGCCAACGCCTGTGATCACTGCATCCAGCCTTAGAATTCAAAAGTAGATGTATGGTGTTTAAAGGTTTGCAGCCCTCTGTGAAGCAGGCTGTACCCCGTTTCCCTGAAGGATTTGTGTCCTTTTTCAGAGGTGGCACTTCACAGCTCCTCCTGTGATTCACTGTGTGTTGTTTCCATTATAGAAGAGCCAGTTTCTACGCATGTCGGCTGGACAAGCATTTATATGTTATTGGTGGGAGGAATGAAACCGGCTACTTGTCCAGCGTGGAGTGCTATAACCTGGACACAAACGAATGGCGCTATGTGTCCTCTTTGCCACAGCCTCTGGCAGCTCATGCAGGAGCAGTGCACAATGGGAAGATATACATTTCAGGCAAGTCATTCCTTAGCTCTCTGTTCCAAGGTTCAGTTCCAAGGCGCTTGCTTGACTTGTATGTATATGTTTAATTCACAGGGGGTGTACACAATGGAGAATATGTCCCATGGCTATATTGCTATGACCCTGTAATGGATGTCTGGGCTCGAAAACAAGATATGAACACAAAACGCGCAATCCACACTTTGGCTGTAATGAATGAGCGCTTGTATGCAATTGGAGGAAATCATTTGAAAGGTCTTTTTCTTTTTTCTTCTTCTTCTTTTGTTTTAATCACAACAGCATTTGCATCTCATGTTTCTTGCTAAGGGGGTTTCTGTTAAATAATCAGTTAACCAAGTAAAAAACATGTTGACCAAATAAAATCTACTCTGTGTAAATGAGCAGTACCCTTGAGCAAGCATTTATTCTAACTTTTCTGCATATAGGATTATTTTTGAGTTACCATACACACTAAAGAAATGAATAATGAGGTCTATAGAACATTTTTTAAAAGAGAGCCTTAAAAACTGAAAAGCACAAACAATTCATTATGAATCCAACGAAATGAATTATTTCTTATGACTAAAGTGATAGTAATGAATTTTTACAGAAAACTGTTTTTTGCAGTAATCATAAAGAACTTTGGCCGTAGCTGTGCAAAGCTAATGTGTGATTTTTTTTTCACCTTAAAGAAAACATTTGGTATACTCTTTGTCTAAATTTAAAATTGTTCAAGTATTGAATATCAAACCACTTACAATTCTCAAATTGAATTGCTTTTTTTTTAATAAAAACTTAAAGCACAGTATTTCAGAGCCACATTACATTTTCACTCCTTTTCTTTGCTAGATCTGTACAGGACTGCAACTTTTTGTGTCTTATTGTACATCTAACTTTCATGTGTAGTGTACAACACTGAATCTGACAGGTATTGAAAACATCACTGACATACCTTAGGCCTCAATTTCCTCATCTGAAAATAAATAAACTGGTCCGGTTGAATTTTAAAAATCTTTTCCCACTCTGATCCTCGAATCCAAATTAAAGGGGAAACATGCTATTCCATTATAATAGATGAGATACATCTGTGCATTTATTTTACAATAATATATGCATCTTAAAAAATAGATCAGACAGAAATGTTTTTCTGTTTTTCTTAATTCATGTTTAATTCTCACGAGGGCTGCTTTGTTTCACCTCATACTCTATTTCACCTTATCTCAATGTGTTTTACATCAACTCTACAGCTTTCTACTTTAAATGTAATTTTTTCCCATTCCTTTTACACAAGATACTGCCAAAATGTTTCAGGGACTTTTGATATTCAAGGTTATGTATGGACAGCCAGGCCAGTTAATGACCATCTAAATGAAAAGTAGCACACACATACGTCAAAAGTAGCTTAGCTCAGTGGACATCATGGCAGGAAAGGTAAGGAAAGACTTCATCTAAGCCTAGATTTGCATCCTGGTTATGCATTTATGACTTGTGTGGATAATTAGCCTATCCTTGATGGTTTCCGTGAGGATGACAGACAACCTATCCAATAATGCATCATATGTGCCACAGAGAAGATACATATATCCTCAAACAATGCCTCTAGAACTTCAGAAACTGGAGTTTCCCCACTGGCTCATGCCGATGTATTATGCTTCTAACAGTGCAGAGGGCACATTGCTCTACTATACCAGCATCCATCTTTGTGATTCATTTTATACAAGAAATACTAACTGAAATAACCTATCAGAAATGAAAATCGTTCCTTTTTATTAGTCTTCTCAATATTTGGTATAGTCCAATATGTTAGTTAGTTCAATATTTACACTGATTTTCAGCTAACCAATAGCCATAAAATGCATTTAACTAGAGGGGAAAAAAGCCATTTTATCTGCTGAGTGACCATGAGGTTCAGCCTAGGGTTCCCCCCACAAAAAAAATTAAAAGTAGGACTCTGGGGAAGTCCATCAACCTACATATATTGTTCTTGGTGACCTGGTTACTACCTCCATCTCTGAGAAGCTGTATCAGAAGTAAAAGGAGAAGCCCCTCAGGCCCTGCCCCAACTTCGATCTTAGGAAGTTAGAGACCATTCACATCATTAGAGCTGAGTACAAATACAGACTGGAAAAGTGGTAAAGGACAGTGAGCAATGTTTTGTTAATTAATTGCAATATTTTGAATGAGTTAAATATTCCTTGAAGAAAAGCAATACTGTGAACTCTGTAAGAGTCTGAGATCTGAGCTCTTTTTAACTGGGTTCAAATCTCAGCCTATCTGTTTACCTGCTTGTGACAGAGTAGTCACTGACTTTCTCCGCCCTACAGCTCCCTTATCTATGGAGTGAATATAACAATAGTAGCTATCTCATATAGTAGTGGAGAGGAATGACTTCAGTTAGATAAAGCACTTAAAAAGTAAAACTAGACTACTGTAAGTACTTTATAAAAATGCTTGCTTAAGTAATCTTATTTTAAACCTTTCAAAATACCATTTTAATAAAACATTTTTAATATGATCTACCACCATATAATCAATCTGTACTAATGACATTTACTCAGGCTTTCTTGCTTCTAATTAATCCAAAATACAAAGAATTTGTTTGTCATATTTTAAGGTCATTCCAATATGGCTCCCAATTTCACCAGTGAATTTATACCTTTGTAGCTTCAAAGACGCAATTGTCCACTTCTTGGACCTTTCCAAAAAAAAAAAAAATTCCTGACCGTAAATACGGGCCTTGACAGTGTATTCTTTTGTGGTTCCATTTTCTGATGTTACTTAGGTTTCTCCCACCTGGACGTAATGCTTGTGGAATGCTATGACCCAAAAGGTGACCAGTGGAATATTCTGCAAACTCCCATTCTGGAGGGTCGAAGTGGTCCTGGCTGTGCAGTGCTTGATGACAGCATTTACCTTGTGGGAGGCTACAGTTGGAGTATGGTATGTGCACCTCTGTCACAGCCTCCTCCTCTCTGCTTGCGCTCATTTTTTTTCTGTTTGATCCTTTCCATGTGTATTATCATCTGCAGTTGCTCCTCTTAAGAATACCGTGTCTAGGTGCGAGCCCAAAGTTACTGTAGGTGGTAAAACAGAATTAACAGTACCACTGGTGAACTGCCTTGCTATCTGATAAACTGCATCACAACATGGGTTTGGCCTCAGGTTTGTCCTATCCCAATGTTTTTGTGCTTCTGGTTTTCCAACTAAAAGTCAAATGGAAGTGATTTCACAAATGCTCTGTGGAAATTGAATAGGAGAGTCTGAAAAGTTTCTGAACAGTCAGCCATGAAAAATGGAAATTAATTCTTCAGTGCCCATGAATTATATTTAGAAGGTACAATTTGCATTTCACGATTTTCCCTCTTTCTCATGAAAATTTTCAAACATATGCAAAAATTGGCTTTACTTTGTGCCCTCATTAACTCATCATTCAGCATCAATACCCATCAATATTTGCCATGCTTATTTTACCAACACTCCTTTAAAATATTTTGGCTGAAGAAACTTGATGCAAATGGCAACATTATATTATTTCACCCTAAATGCCCCAGTATTTTTCTCTTAAAACATTAAAATTATAAATACACTATCATTTATCACACCCAACAAAAGTAACAATTTTTTTTATATATAGTCCATATTCAAATTTCCCTTATTGACTTAGAAAAAGCAAAGATGTACTTCTCAAATTAGCATGTTCACTCTTTATGTTCCAACAAGTCAACTCCTATTTGGTTACTATAGGTCTCTTTGCAATCTGGAACATTACCTCTGCCACACTTTTTGTTCCATGCCATTGACTTGTTCCCAAAACAGGGTCAGTTATTAGACAAAACACCCTACATTCTGAATTTGGCTAATGAAGAGGCCGGGGATGTAGCTCAGTGGCACTGCACCTGCCTGAAGCTGACTAATGATTTTCTTGTGGTATCATTTAAAATAGTTTTCATCTCAGTATATCCTGCAGACCCAAAGTTAAAGATAGGGCTTAAATTCAAACTTTTCATTTTCCTCCTCCTCCTCCTCCTCCTCCTCCTTCTCTCTTCCTCCTTTTCTCCTCCTCCTCCTCCTTCTTCTTCTTCTCCTTCTTTTCAAGAAAGAGAAGCCTCCTGACAAGGAGGCTGTGTATTTTAAATTATATCACATCAGAAGAAGACATATCAGGTCTCTTGGTCTACACATTTCCTTTTTAAATGATGGCCATTGTTTTATTTTTCATTTATCTGTGTCCATTTTATAAAATCACTTGGGAATCTTAATAATATTAGTTTTATTTCTTCTATGGCAAACATGATCATGAAATTAAGTTTTAGGGAGCTTTATAAAAGTATTAGTTACTTGATAGCACATATGTGCTGCTGTCATATATAACTAAGTATTTGTACTCGTGCTTGTTTGCTGGTGTAAATTGTCAACTACAAGAGTATGTGTGTTTGGAAGCAACCTCAGAAAATGTCTACCAGTTGGGTTTTTGGTTTGATGCCTAAAGTACCAAGTTGCTTTGGTTTGAGAAGAGAAAATTTTACACAAGCAGTAGTCCCTAAATTTGACAAAAAACACAAAGTTAAAGACCTCTTTATTCTCATGTATCCTTTTGGAAATAAGCAAATCAGTGTGGGAAGAAGTTGACAAGACTTCATTTCCAGTTTACTTTAAACTGATTTTCAATGCCAGCTCTGATTCTCCACAATGACAAATTAAAATTGAAGAAGTGAGATAACAAACTTACTTCAACTATTGGAATATTAAGGTAAATTTGTCCCTTTAGTTATTTAATATAAACCAGGTGGCCGACTTCAATTTTGGTCAGTTATTTTAAAAGATTTGTTAAGTGTCTAAGATGCTATAGGTATTTTTTGAATCTTATTATTAGTCATCAAAAAACTGTGAAGTGTGCCTTTTAAATTTTGGCTTGGAATAAAACAGTTTAAAGTCAACTGCTTTGATTTGGAAATTTCTAGCAAGAGCAGAGATCTTTTGTCTCCAATGTAAATATGATGAATAATATTACCATTGCTCTTCTCAGAAAATCTTTCTCTAAATGCCCCCTGCTCTGTCATTACAGGGGGCCTATAAATCGTCTACAATATGCTACTGTCCAGAAAAAGGAAGCTGGACAGAACTTGAAGGAGATGTCGCAGAACCCCTGGCAGGCCCAGCCTGTGCCACAGTCATCCTTCCTGCCTGTGTGCCCTACAACAAATGATACCAGGAAAGCCTCGAATGGACAGCATCACGTCCTGGGAAGCAGTGACAGGTGATGTCACTCTCTCATAGGAACTGTGCATTCTAATAGTACAACTGCTGAAACCCACCTTTGGTTTCTGATGATTTGCAAGTAACTACAGAGAAAGAGACTTGTTCTGGAGCAGACATTGTGTCTGTAACTCAGATCACATCCAACTTCCTATGGTGACAAACTCTTCCATTCAGACTGGTTTTAACTTGTCCCAGATATACAAAAACTTCTCACGAGGATCTTAACTAGCAAAAGGAGAAAGAGAAAGTACAGAATACTGGCCCCAGAGAGACTTAAGATCAGTATTGTGCATTGTAGTCTACCTGCATGTGGTCGATGTTGAAGTTTTGGAGATATTGTGTACATGGACGATTCCAAATCTGACCCACTGCAATACTTATACTGCATTACAGATATTGCCACTTGATTCTGTATTCCTAACCTTTGGCTACTTCATAAACTCCATAGGCAATACAGTTACAGAAAATCATATAGGATTAAAGAGAGGCACTTTTGTTTGCCTACAACTCTATTTCATGTACCTTCTGCTTTTACAGCACCTCAGGAGAGCAAAGAAGAGCAAGTTGTTGGCTCTTATAGCAATTGCTTTGTGCCCTCTAGAGCTAGGCTAGCCAGAGTACTAATTTCTGTGTCCTCAGTGCTACCCCAAAATGAAAACAAAAGCATACTCTATCACTATTCAGTTCACAGAGGCTTATGGTTTCCTATTTTTTTGCAGTATTTACATAATGAACACACAGGCTGTTTGCTTCAAAAGACAGAACTGACGAATTCAGTCACATGATATTCCAGAAATTCTGTTAGAAAAAAACATCTGAACCAAACCTGATCCATAATGAAAACTTAGAGATGGCTTTCAGAAATTCAGGGATGAAAAGAAAAAATCATTTCCTTTAAGTAAAATCTAAGTTGTCTCTCTAGACCTAAAACACACAACTTACAACATCGTAGCCCCTGACAAAATGCTTCTCCTCTTCCTCAGCTGTGGCTGGCTCCAGACGCTTGACTTAATCTCATTCTTCCCCCCAGTTCTTCATTATTTAGTTTGTCATCACCACAGACGCTGGAACTCAGTTAAGTTAGCAATGGCTACTTGTCTTTAGCAGCATGAGGAATTTAGGAACAGAAGGTCAGGAGAGCATGGTATAGTCTCAGTGTGGCCAATCAGAAGAGCTAACTGGCAGGAATATGAATTTGACTTTCAAGCTCTTCAGAGCTTGACTGTTAGAAGTAAATAAAAGCCTAAAATACTTTTTTAATCACCCAGAAATGATGAATGCTTCAACAAATATGACACTTAAAATGACAATACGGGAAAGGGACAGATTAAAAATGCCTTGGTCATAAGCTTTCATTGCGGGGCACATCACGATGGATGGGTACCTGGAATCCTATGCCGTTTCTACAGTAAAGTGCAATCTCCATTGTTTTTGTATTTATTTGTATGTTCAGGTCCAAAGGATCCATTGTAAAATATATATATATATATATATA